CACCTACAGCAGGTCAATTAGTTCTTCAAATGATACCTTTAAGTTAATTTTATAGTTTTGTGATATTAATAATGCTAATATATTGATATTTTTCTAATTTTGATTTAAGTTTGTTTGTTTAGCGTCGTCACAGTTGCTAGGTGACATGACGTACACCGGGGTAAGGAGGGGAGGCTAGACCGTCCAACTTCACAGCCTCTTTTTTTCTGGTCTTCCTGGTCTACCAAGGACCCGGCCCGCCTCGACCGGGTAGTTTGGGTCCTCCGGAGGACCCGGCCTGTCGTTTTGGACACAGCACTAGACAAACTAAGCATTAGAACATGATGTGAACAGCTGTAGATCAAAAGTTTCTTTACTTCATATTTTAAACAATAATTTAAATTGATCATATCTGCTCTGCTTTCCTGCCTTTTCTTTATTCCTTTTTTTCATATTTGCTTTGTCTGGTCTAACTTTCCAAAAAAAATTTCTATGGTGGAAAATTAGAAGAAGAAAAAAAAAACTCTGAACACAACAGAAAAAAGAGCCTCCAAAGAAAACTGTTAAATCAATACCTTTTTCAGGAAATGTCACTGTAATTATCTGTAAGGTCGTCAGGATTTCATCCCTCTTGTTTATCGTTTTACCTTCATCACAACAATGTCAGATTAGTTTATAATTTTCATTTTTATAGAAATAATGAAATCAGTTATTTACTTAAAAAAACAGCCTCCACCGAAGCCAGGGACATAATTCAATATAAGAATATTTCCTCACACGGTTATTACCTCCCTGTCCTCCGAGAAGTGTTGCTGTAGAAGAATTTAATAACTTGTATTCTGCCCTAAAGAGCTTGTTGTATTTAGTTCTGCACACAGCGCAGTAGAACTGCACAGCATCTGGTTAAAGGGCACRCTTTTAGCACTGGGAAAAGGTCAGAGCAGGAAGCATGAAGAAAGTTGACGTTCAGTAATTATAAAGTGGCCACAACTCAACTCAGCAACTCCAGCAGTTATGGCAGCATTAAGTAGTCAGCTCTGCTCGGGCTGCTGCTGACGAGTCGAAGCCCTTCATGTCTTCACTTTGTCCCTTTAGTGGTTGTGAAGTCTTCTTCATTTTCATCTTTGTTTCTGCTTTTGTCAAAACCTGATCAAACAACCGTGTCGTCAACGGCAAGAAAATTCATTCTGTGGTTGGTAGGTTTTTGAGTTTTAGTTGCATTGGACGTTTTTTTTATTTGACGATGCTAGTTCATTTAAAAGCCAGGGCCTGTATTTATCAAACTTCTTAAAGTTAACTCAGTATTTCCTCAGGCTCTGAGACATAAAAATTGCATCTGAGTTTTTGATTAACAAATCCATGAGATTTTCTTTATATGTCTGTATTCATGATGCAAATGAGGACTTTTTTATTATTATTATTATTGTTATTATTATTTTTTGTAATTTACAGTTGGTACATTGTGACATGTATGAACATTATTGGGATGAATGTGAACTTATCTTAGGATTTTCACAGTTTTGTCTTGACATTTCTCTGAGAATCTTCTTGAACATAAAATCTGAGGCAGTGATTGGTCCATCCCGGGGGTTTTGTAATGATGTCATCCAGGATCAGCTTTGCGGCACAGCAAAGTGTCGTAAATCAGCTCTAAGATTTACTTAAGATTTACTCTTACACTTTGCTTAATATGAGACTGAGACACTTGATAACTGACTTTTAGGCTCAGCTTTTAGCTAAGATGTTTTTTACACTTAAGTCCATTCTTAACGGCATTATGTAATTCTAAGAAGTTTGATAAATATGGGCCCAGATCTTGTTTCATCTTGTTTCGCAGTTTTGCTCCTGTGCAGTTTACTCAGGTGTGCAAGATTTCTTTGGTGTTATGTTTGCCTACAGAGCTCTCAATCTGTAAGAGTTTAACATCAAACAAACAAAAAAAAGCTTCTACTGATGAGAACAGTTCCCAATCAGATCATTTTTWAAAAATTCATTGATGCTTTATTTGCTTAAAACAAAGTTTCAGTCAAAAATTAGTTTCAAAACGTATTTTGGTTTCACTTGATTTGGCCTTGATTTGATGCAGAATAAAAGGTAATAACTGAACAACATCAACAGTGAAAATATAGCGATTGAATACAAACTGGTTGCCATGAAYGTGATTTATGACCTATTTGGCTTTCCATACATTCACCCTACCAGCACTGATCATTTGGAGCAGAAATCCCACACATTTGATTTGAGCCACATGGGCAGAAAATAGTGTTAAGACCCTGATTTCATGGATCTGTTCCTCCTGGTGGTTCAAACTGACCAGTCTTTGGTTTTAGAATGTCTACAGTGTGATTTTACCAGTTAGACCAACAAAGAGCATAAAATATTACACCTTTTTTTGCCTCTCACTACATGAAAAGCATTTCTGAATCCTGCTTGACCAAAAATGGAGTTTTGTGTTTTTAATTTCAATTTTAATTTTTATATGCCTGCTTCTCCCAGAGGCTTGTAAACTGTTAGGAAAATAAAAATGTTTCCGTTTTATTCCTTATCCAGCACAGTTCACCTCTGGACCACCCACACCAGAGTTTTCTTTTTCCTTTGTTGTTGTTTTTTTACTGTCTACATGCTTATATCTGGCTGATGTGTGCATGTGTAATCCACTGTCCTGTTGCTTCTGACAGATTAAACCTTAACTGGAGTCAATCAACATGACAAAAAAAATATAAATCTAAATCAGATTTGAATTATCTAAATATTGTAAGCATCAATACATGCCCAATTATTTACCATGTAAAGTCAGGAATTCTGTGCCTGTTGTGTCAGCTGCATGGATACGTTTGGAGTGTGTACATCTTCCTGAAAACTGCAACACATTACTCTCTRTAATCTCTATAGCCATAGGAACACATCAGCTGTGAGCAAGTTAACAACACTAAGCAAAATCATGGCACTTTTTGTCAAAYTGAATCGCCAAAACAAAACTAAAGAAAAGCACCCAAATTGAAATGGTTGAAAACKTTYRCRTTTATAAACCTGTTACTAAATCAAWGCTATCAAATTAGGACTGAAGTTTGAACGTGCACCGCACTGTTGTTGTTTTAAGAATTCTTTAATATGTATTTGGGTGCTCACGTCTTCTAGCATCCATCAAAAGGTGCTGCAGCACCCTCTGCACCCCAACCTCCTATGAGGTACTAATCTCAGTTTAAC